TACCGTTTTTACAGGGTCAACGCCAGAAAAGAAATTAAAAAGTAAACATTTATTAAAAAAAATAAAAGACTAAAAATACATCAAATTAACAAAGAAATAATTTAAAATGTGTGCAAATTCCAAGCAATGCTTTGTAATGTGTTTTTTTTTTTTTTTGCGTTGGACTGTAACAAAGCATTTTCCGCTGAATTTTTGCATTGATATCAATATATATTTCCTCATTTGTACTGCATGTCTTCCATCTAAATCACACCTTTTCTTTATTCATAATGTCTTTTCCTTTTTCAAATACGCAATTAGTGTCCACAAATTTGGGTGCATGTTAGTATAACTTCGCTTATAAAAATGTTTAAATCGAAGTAACAATAGGTACTTCTGTGGCACCATGCATACCTGACGAGCTGAAAAGAAATATTCATAGATATATGATTTGTTTTTTACGGTTTATCAACCATTTAATAATTATTTAGGACCGAAAAATATTTCGGGTTTTAAGAATAATTCTTTCTTACGTTCAAGCGATCTGGAAGAAGGAAAGAGAAAACGAAGAAGAAAGAAAGAAAAAATAATACGAAAAAAAGGTCATAGGCGAGCACACACACGCACGGCTGACAGATAACAGGTGTCGAAAAATATCCAGGTCAAGCATCTAACCAAGATCTGGGGAAAATGGAAGTTGTTATCAATTGGTTGAAGAAACGAAGTTTAGGGACAATGAAAAATATTGATAAGTAACAAGTGGAAAGTGTGTCATTGGGATGATAGTAAAAGTCTAAGTGGGTGGGGAAGTGTATCTAAGGATATGAAGGCAAACCATTAATACGAAAACCCAGACAATCTCCAGAATTGGAAAAAGCCACACAAGATGATGTCGCTGAAAATTTTTTTTTGAGATAATAAAGATTTTTATTATCGGACCTTCGGCCGGAGGAAAATGAAATATTTTTATTTCGTTCAAAAAAACGCCAACAGGTCTGAGAAATCCCTTTTTTGGGCCATATCCAATTAGCGATAAACTGCTTGACAAATACCATATGTTAAAAAGCCGAAGGTGTCATCGCAGTCACTCATGATAAGGGCGATTTAAATTAATATTTTTGTTTTTTTAAGCAAGGTGTTTCTTTCCCCAAAACAAAGCCACGGATTGTCCACACCCGACTAAAGACGTCATTGGCTAAATAAGATCACATGACACACGAAGGAGGAGGAAAGATACCCGACCAGGACCTCATTGGCCGAGAGCGGTCACATGACGCACGAGGAGAATCGGTCGACGCCCTTGTCAGAAGTGGAAGTGTAAGGAGCCGATACGAAGAAGCGGGGAAGCGGGTATACGCCCCTCAGAGGCACAGTAAGGTGTGGGAGTGAGAGTGAGTTACCGAAAATGGAAAATCCCTAACCAGAAATAAGAAGGGTGGATACGTATTTAGAATTATCGAAAAACACCTGGCGCCGACAGATCCACCCAGTTTTGACTGCGTCAATAAAAGCGGGACCCCAACCGACAGAAATCAGTTAGAGTTTGAGCAGCGGACGGCGAAAGAGTTTTGAGCCGTGGACGACTAGCAGAGATGAGCGCCCAGTGTTGAAACCGCGTCAAGATAGCTGACCAAGATTCACGCACACTTCTGGACTCTTCTTCAACCAAGAACAAGTAGTTTGAAGAGCGACTTAGAATCAGACCACAGAAATAAGTTTTTTTCGACTTTCGTCCATAGACACACCGAAACACAAATTTCTTAGAGAGCAGACAACTGGAAGCCTTAAAGTTGCCTAGTAAAAAGCGTCGTGCCACAATCCACAGAACGGGTCGGGAAGTAGACATAGTCCTATGTACCGAGCAATTAGACATAAAAAGTTTGTTACCTTTTTCTTGATACGTTGGACCTTGTGAGTTTTTATTTTATTTTCTTTTTATACATAATTGTGTTTATCACCCCCCCGTTAGACTCAACTTGCATTACGGCCCCAACCCCTGTTTGATCTCGTCTGTCTAAGATCAATTCACAACGTGGGTAGGCAGACTGGAGATCAGTGCAGTTACCCTGGTAACCAGGCGTTGGAAGCGGGTTGGGAACGGCGAGGCTGGTATCAATCTAACCAAAGGGTCAGAACGTCACGTTTGGAGCAGCGAGGAGCGAACAGCTGACGCCGCGGCAAAGACGTCACAGTTGGTGCTGTCCGTGACCAGGATATCAGAGCCTGGGGAGCACGTGACGTCACAATTGGCGCTGCGACCGGGATCGAACGACACAGTCGACGCTGCGACCGGGGACGACGTCACACTTCGCATATTAAAAAAAATGAAGCGAAATTGTCATACGGCAGGAAAAACCTATACGGCAAAGTTTTCTACGGCGAAAATTCCTACGCCAAAAATGTTTCCGGCTAATGTTACTAGAACCGGAATTGTTCATTTTCAATGAAAACAAAAAGCCATCTACAAACACTATACAATCCTAATTGTGGAAAACAATTAACCCAAAACTGTAATATAACA